CCCGGAGCCCCCAGGGGTAGCCACAGAAGACCCTCCAGGCCAGCTGCCTCTCCTCGGAGCCCTGGGCCACGTTAGGCTGCCCGGGCCCGAGAGGCTGGGGGCCGTGGCAGCCAGCTCTGCGGGGCTTTGCGTCCACCAGGCTGTGGCCACGGGAGCGAGGGCCACGGGGAGGCTGCCTCCGCCCCCGTCGCTGGGGTCGGGAGGAAGGCAGCGCTTCCCACAGCGGCTGACACACGCGGCCCTGATTTGGGGCCTGGAGTCTTTAATTAGCCAAGCTTGGCACCTGCAAAGGGCGCCTGACGAGTTCGCACCCTGATGGCGTGGGCCGTGGGCGGGCGTCACCTGCTGCTCTGTCCCCGAGCCCTTATCTCCCCGCAGAACAAACAGGCCCGGGGCAGCGGCCTGGCCATCGATTTCCTGCCCGAGCCCATGCTCGCCAGTGACAGATGCCATCCTGAAGACCCACCACAGGTCACAGCAATCGCCCTGCCCCAGAGCCCAATTCCCTGAGCCCGAGCCCGGGGCGTGCTCTGGGGGCAGAGGCCTCAGGGAGGCTCCTCACTGTGTCCCCAGCTTTGGTCAGACCTCACGGGACCCCAGGAAGACGGGCAGACGCTGAGTCCTGAGTGGGGAGTCCCCTGCCCGCGGCCATGCAGCGAGGCAGGACGGTCAGCCTCGGACGCAGAGGGCACTCAGCTTTCCCCAGAGAGTGTCTGCGGGCCGCTTTCCTTGCGGGGGGGGGTTGGTCCCGAGTCCACCCGAAGAGTGAAGTCTGGGAAGTGGCAGGCCCGAGGTGAGGGGGACGGGTGTCAGAAATGGCAGCCGGCCTCAGGGGATGATGGCTGGGGGTCCGCGTGCCAGGCCAGTGCTCATGTCCACCCTGGGCCCCCAGCCCTTAGCCCTGCACTAGAATGAAGTACCGTCGCCTTGACTTGGCCTTGAAGGCTTTGTCAGGCTTGCCTGTGGCCACGGAACCTTCGCTCCCCCTCACAGCCTGCCTCACGCCACACCCAGGGCCTTTGCCCATGCTGTGTGCTCTGCTTGACTCACTCTCTCCTATTTCCCCACCATGGGGACTCCCACTGGAATTTCAGAACTGACTCCCTCACCACCGCCGCCTCCAGGAAGCCTTCCGTGATGCCTCGCTCTCCCCTTCTTTGAGTCCCAGCACTGTGCAGTTCACACTCAGTTGCAGCAAGAGCCATAAGGTGGTGGTGAGGGGCTTGGGGGTTTGTCATTTCCAGACTGAAAGCCAGCTGAGGGTCCACATACCCATGTCCTCTCTGGGATCCCAGACCAGGCCAAGAACCCGTGTGGCCTGGTTGTGAGTAACAGACAGGCCCTGGAAGTCTAAGCTCAGGTCCTGCTGTGGGTGAGGAACCTGGAGCCTGGCCCCCAGCACTGTGGCCATGGCCATGCCGGGGGCTGTGAGGGAGGGATATTAGGGCAGAGAAGGGCGCTTGGTCCAGGCTGCCGACTCAGCACCCAGGGCCTGGCCCAGCCTGCCCAGGGGAGGCCCAGGCGGGCAACCCCAGCTCAGAGCCGGGGGCATCTGGAGTGACTGAGGACACCAGGTGCTGGCACCTCCACGGCAGCTGGGGTCCTTGGAGGGCATGGGTGGCGGGGCTCGGGCAACAGCGTGAAGCAGATCTGGTCCCAGGACGAGGTCTGAGAAGAGATGCTCACAGCCAAGGTCCTGGGTGGGCGGGGCTGGAGGAGAGGAGGGTCGGTCGCCAGCATCAGAGGAAGGAGAGGCAGATTGAGGGGGTTCGAGGGGGCCGGGCATGGGGTTCCCGGAACAACATGTCTGGCATCTGAACTCTGATCAGCTCTGTGTGGCTGCGGCCCCCAGGACACGGGGTCCGAGGCCCAAGCCTGGCCTCCCCTCCCCTGTTCCCGGGTTTGAGGTCCTGGTGCTCCAGGTTCCAGAGCAGCCCCAAGACCATCGGTTCTGAGTGGGGACAGAGGCTCAGGGCCGGATCAGGGTTCCCAGGCAGAGGGGTGCCGTGGCGGCAGGACGGAGCTCTGGCTGACCTGCTTGGCAGTGCTGTCCACTCCCTGGTCACCACTCTGGCCTCGGCTCTCATGCTGGCCAACTGGCCTCCAGCACGGCTGGTTGTGGGGAGCGGGGATGGGGGGCTAGTTCCATGAACCCCAGCGAAGCCACGCCCTAAGGCAGGAGAGGGGGCTGGTCCCGAGGCCCAGGTGCCTCTGCAGCTGGCAAGGCCCTGAGCCCTGGCCTGGGGCTCCAGGAAGGGGGGCTGCTCGAAGGCCCTGGCAGTGGGCACCTAAGGGTGGGGGCTCCCTGGAGGGAAGGAGAGGCCTGAGGGAAAGCGGGGCCTGAGGCCAGGGCTGGTGGAAGGTGAGGCCTGTGTGGCCCAGAGAACAGGGCCCGGGGCACCCGTTTCCGGGAAGGGCCCCAGGGGCCCCTTGCGGGTGGCGGGCGGGCAGAGCCCAGGTGTCCAGCACCCAGCACTGCCTCAGGCCTCCTGGCTCCGAGGGGGTGGCCTCCGCGCCTGCCATTCCCAGCGCCAGCGCGGAGCCCACAGAGGGGCCTTTGTTCTGGCTGCCAGCAGTGCCCGCCGGGCGGCTGGGAACCGGGCCCGTGGCCCTCACCCTTTCTCCAGCCTTCAGCCGTCGGCCGTGCCATTCTGGGTTGGCCAGGAGGCCCCTGGCACACGGAGCGGGCACAGGAAACCGTCTCCCAGCGTTAACTTCAGGGAGGAGACAGTCCAGGCCCCCCCGGGTGGGCCACGGGGCCGGGGACTCAGCATCCTGGCGCCGCGGGCTCTGAACTCAGGGCATCGATTGACCCCGCTTCCCCGATGGGGAGACGGAGGGCTGAGGGCTGG